CTCATTTAAAACACTTCACTACATGAGATGATGATAGTATTTTTTTAAACATTTGGTGCGACACCATGAAAACATTTGAACAACAACCACATTTCACACACAGAAACACACATATTTTAGTTTTTTTTTCTGTTACTTAAAACACGCAGTGTGCGGCAGTTCCTCTTTAAGTTCCCTATTTTCTATACAATAGTTGGTCCTGAGAGTCTTTCTTTCCAAGATGGCGGCGTTTCGTGACGGACGTCTGGTCAGGACTAGAGCCGACTCTGTTCGCTTTTTTTGTGTTTTCACTTTTTCCGTGAGAGTTTCTTCAGTGATTGCACCAAGACGATGCTGCAATAAAAAGCACATGTTTCAACTGAAATTTTTGTAAAACAAGCAAAAAAACTATAACACATGGCTCACTCTACATACACGGAGGCGAAACTGCATTGGCAAATGAAGTAGAGTTCTTGTTCTAGATACTCAAACCTCAATATAACGAATACGGATATAATGAATATAACGAAATAGGATAAATGAAAAAATAGTCTTGATATAAATACAGTGTTAGGTACAACTCTTATAACAAATTTTTGAATATAACAAACTTATTTTCTTGTAAGATGGAACTTTGTTATAACGAGGCTGGAGTGTACATATTTTACCACAGTGATTCCATGGCTTTGGTGTTCAGCTGTTGACACATGATAAAATCGCGGGTTCTGCTTCAGAAAGGCTCATTGTTCAGCTGCCTGTTCTTAACTTGACTTCCTACTTTCAACAACGTTCCCCCCTATGGCGACCACCATTTCACCATGCCACGTGTGACGTCCCGTGCTGCATGCAGTGGAGCCATCATCTTCCAACAAAGCTTTCAGCCGCTACAAATTGTACAATTTGAGTGCCAGTCTGAACAAAGTTAAAACATCTCGAAAAAATGCGCACCTGACCCTGAACAATATCATTTGCTAGAATGCAGACGCTTGCATGGCAAGCCACTTGTTATGCGGCTCTTGACTATGTTGATGTTGCCCGACTCTCAGGTTGCTCACACGTTTATAACAATATTCAAATAAACAATATTCAAATACAAACTAAGTGCTTGACCAAATGCGCTAAATGTTTGCTACCTGGCGTGTGAATGCACAAGGGTTAACATACATAGTGTGGACTATGATGAAAAATTGTTTCATGGCACCTTTAAAAAAAGAAAAAGATGTATCTGGGTGGGTCATAAGAAGGACAATAACTAAAGGTCAATTGGAAAAACCAAATAGCTACTAAGAGATGGCAAGTGGCATTGAGGCAAACAAGCAAAAAGGGTTAGGTTGAGTGATGAAGTTAAGAAACTTGTACGCATAAAATAGCAGCAACTATTACAGGACCAGGTTGGTTGGAGATTATTAGGAGAAGCATTTGCCTTGTAGTAGACACACGACAGGCTGACGACAACGATGATGAAATATGGTTGATGCCTGTTTTCCCGGACTCTCAAGGGACCGCAAAAACGTCCGCAAAAATGAATGCATGCGAAACACTTTTTTGAAAGGTACTTTTCACTGACGGAGAGTGTCACGCCACGAGTACAGGATTATCATTGCAATTCAGCGAATGCATCGTTTAGGTGGCTCAAAAAAGAGTTGTTTATACGAAGAAAAAAAAAAACGTCTGATGTGGCCAGCGCTACTACATTAGTAAACACTTTGGCATAAAAAAATGTCACTTATTTTCGTTAGCACACCATTCCGCTTGCCCGCAACGATGTCTGCCTCCATTTCAGCTAATGTCATGCTGTTGCTGTGCACCCATGACTGTGTCAGTGCTCGTCTCAACTCCGAGCTCGTTGGCTATGTAGGCTCTGCCTCTTTGATCTCAGTGAAGGGGTCATCAGAATCCTACGTAATTTGACGAATGATTTCTTCATCGGTCAATCCGCACACAGCTCGAAGTCTTTGTCAGCATCGGCAAAGTCCTCAAAGGTTATCCCGGCTGGAATCAAAACACCGGCATCATGCAGATCTTTGAAGACAACATCAGCGAGCGGAAGTTTGCCGCACACGCTGTCCACTCTGGGCAAGACTGCCGTTTTAGTGTCCAATATGAAGCTCGTGTGGCGAAAATAGTTTCAAAGGCTCTGTTGTGTAACCGTCTTTTACGAGGCTGAGAGCATGCCGACGGCAAAATTTTAAGTCAACAGAGTAGCTTTTCCCACTGTCGGCGCATAGTATCATGTGTGCAAGTGTGGCCACATGTTTGACTAAGCTATGGCTGCCAACGAATTAGTGGTCGCTAGATTGTGGCATTTGTTTTGAGGGTACAACACGAAAAATGAACATCATAAAACCATTATCACAGTGCATGCAATGAAAATGAAGTTGCCTTTTTATCTCGTTGATAGCACGTGCTATGAGAATGGTTTTATGATGTTAATTTTTCATTCATCTTCGACTATCACTTTTGTTTCTTCTTTTTTCATTCCACTGCATAGGTATATATATATGTGACGCAGGAGGCGTGATGGCTGTACTATGAACCATTTATTTGTCTTCGTCTTCCTCCTTCTCTACCATTCCACCACCCCGTTCTCGTGTGGTTCGTCACACGCTTCCCCCCTCCCCCGAGAGAGACAGAGGTGCAGGGGCGGATGATATCGTTTAAGTCTCCCGACATGAACGATGTCAGTCTGGCGACCGAGTGGAGCCACGCTGCGGTCGATCTCGTAGTTAACTGCCGAAATCTTGCGTATGATCGTATAGGGTCCTTCCATGATTGCGCTGAGTTTGCCGCAGTTCGGGTGCCAGGGTGTTTCATATAGAACAAAGTCTCCCACTTGAAGCTCTAATGGAAGGACCTTCTTGTCATATATGATCTTGTTTTTCTCCTGATATGCTACTGAATTGCGGACTGCGTTTGTACGAGCTTCCTGCAGATTTTCGGTAACGCCTGGAAGAAGATAGGGATACGATGGTGTGCCATACATAAGAAAGCAGGGTGGGTAGCCTGTGACTTCGTGAGGCGTTCTATTGTACTCGTCGACAACGTCCGAGAGGAGACGCGGCCACGGTTTTCGGGGTTCATAGTTGATCTTGCATCGGAGGCGAGTAATGATCGTCTGATTAGTGCGCTCGTTTAGGCCATTACACGGCGGGCATTGTGAGCTTGTTAAAAGCTGATGAATATTGTTGTGCTTGAGGAGCTGCTTAAATTTGCCGGCAGTGAATCCTGTGCCGCGACCGGAAAGGAACTTCCGCGGCTTTCCAGCAGCGAAGATACTCTTCAGGCAAGAGATGTACGCGTCGCAAGTCTCATCCCTGTGTGCGAAAGCCCAGACATAACGGGTGGCAAGATCAACGGCTAAGTGAATGAATCTTTTGGATGAGCCGTAGTTGCCAAAACCTCCGATAGTGTCCATGACCAGAAGATCAAACGGTTGTTCCGCTGGTGGCAAAGACTCCAAGAAACCAAATCGTTTGTTCTCCGGATTCTTGCAGCGCTGGCAGGTATCGCAGTGGCGTATGTACTCGCTCACGTCGGTGATGATGTCGGGCCAATAGTACTGTGGAGAGAGAAGCCGCAGCGTCTTCTTTACCTCGACATGACCGAAAGCGTCATGAGCTTTTTGGAGAAGAGAAGACCGGAGGGCAAAAGGCACATAGACTTTTCGTATTCCCCTGCGTGTCACTATACTCAGTCCGTTCTCAATGGTATGCTTTCCGGGTGGTTTGTCGTTGTCATGCTCTCGCAGTTGCTCAGCAGATAGGAGTTGAACTACCAGGCTTCGAGATAGTGCATCAGCTTCAATGTTGTCAATGCCCTTTTGGTGTTTGATGTTCACGTCGTACATGAAGAGTTTCAGGGACCACCGGAAAAGTCGGCCGCGGGGATTCTTGATGCTTTTAAGCCATTGCAACGCTGCGTGATCTGTGATCACAGTGCAAGGTTTCCCGTGTAGATAGCAGTGCCATTTATCGATGGCGTCAATAATTGCCAAACATTCGAGTTCTGTGATGGCGTAATTAATTTCGTGTTTTAGTAACTTCCGTGAATGGTATGCGATTGGGTGCTCTCTACCTTCATCATCAGCCTGCTTCAAGACGGCGCCGATACCTCTGTTGGATGCATCGTAGTATAGCACACAAGGCTTAGTGGCATCGTAGATGTTAAGGATTGGCTCTTCTGTCACGAATTTCTTGAGCTGAGTGAAAGCCAGTTCACACTCCGCATCCCAGTTCCAGGTGGCGTCTTTACTGAGCAGGCGCGTCAGTGGGTGAGCGATTTGACTGAAGCGGTCGATGTATCGCCGGTAAACATTGACAGTGTCGAGAAAACGCTGCAACTCTTTAGGGCGTGATGGTGCCAGAAACCGTAGGATTGCGTCCACGTTGCTTTGCTTTGGAGTGACGGTGCCATGCGAAACCTTGTGTCCCAGGTACTCAATGGAGGTTCGAGCGAATTGACATTTCTTTAATTTCAACTTGACGCCTTTGCTTTTGAAAGCTTTCAAAACGCCCTCCAGATGCCTCAGATGGTCTGGAAACGTGTCAGAGTAGACAACAATGCCATCGAAGTAATTCGTGACGTTCTGCAAACGGTGTTTTGCCAATACGAATTTGACAGCCCGTTAGAAGGTGACCGGAGCATTCCGAAGGCCAAAAGGCATGACGAGCCACTCGTAGTGACCGGTACGTGTGACAAACGCCGTTTTCGGAATGTCATCAGGGTGAATCTTCACGTGCCAGTAACCTGACGTTATGTCTAATGTCGAGAAGTACGTAGATTTCCCCAGAGAATCGAGAACGTCATCGATGCGAGGGATGGGCTGATAATCAGGCACCGTCAATTCCTTCAGCTTGCGGTAGTCGATGCAGAAGCGCGTGCGTCCTTCCCCTTTTTTCTCTGCCAGAAGTGCTTGCGCAGCGTATGGGGAGGTAGATAGGCATATGACACCTTGCTTGAGAAGCTCATTGATCTGTCTGTCCATTTCGACGCTGTCAGTTTCTGAGCATCGGTAGGGAGCTCTACGAATGGGAACATTGTTGGTGAGATGAATGGAATGAATTTCGCCGTTGATGCACCCAATGTCTGTCTGTGACTTGGAAAAAATGTCATCGTACTTGTGGATAAGCTGCTTCAATGCCCACTGTTGAGTTTTATTTAAATGTAGTACATCGCAAACTTTCACACCTTGCAAAGACGCGCCCTTGTTAACCGTGGTTTGGTTCTGTGTACGAAAATGGAGGATCTTTCTCTTGGCGTAGAGTCATAGTGTCAAGGTTCAGCGACAAGTTAAAGAGGCAAGCACTATCCAAGCCAAGAAGTAAGTTGCTCTTCATGCCTTGTAGAACATGAGCCTGAATTTCTCTTGTCACTTTTCCTATCTGTACCTTTAGATTAACGCGACCCAAAGTTTTGGTAGATGATGTGACTTGTTGAACTGAGATGCATGAATTCCTCATTATTTGCAGGTGAAGTGCCTTCAGCACTGCTTCGTTGATACAGGTAATCGTAGCTCCGGTATCAAGTGTAGCGCTGACAGGGTACCCATTAATGAGGGCATCAAACTGAATTACATGAACTCTGGGTCGCCCTCCTCGTTTCCCTGGTTGGTGGAGAGGGTGGAAATGCTTGCACGTCGTGGGCATTCATTATGCCAGTGCATCTGTCGGGGTAAGCCATTCATCGCGCAGTGTTTGCACTCATGCACGGGTGTTCGTACCGGGGAATTACGTGGACGCTGACTAGTTCTGTCACTTGTTACGTTAATCTGTGTATTCCGAGCTGGTGGAAAGCGATGTAACTTCATTCTCTGCATGGTTGACTCTACACGAAGTGCAGCTGTAAGCCATGCCTCTGGTGTAGACGAGGTAAGCCCAGCAAGCGCCATCTCCATATGCGCAGGAAGGCCGTCGATGAGCCCTGATATAAGGTGGGTGTCCTTTAGGTCGGCGAGGCGTCCGAGAGACAAGTATTCCTTCAAGCTCTGGCCTGTTCGCAACCGGCAATGAATGAATTGGCGAAAAGGATCCGCGACGCCGCTCGTAAAGCGTCCCTTCATGCGTTCACATAAGCTCTCCCAAGAGGCGTCTGTGTCGAAAACCTCGATGAGAAACCATCGGAAAGCCTCAGCTTCAAGATAATCGGAGAAGTAGCACAGCTTGTCTCGCTCCGTCCATGCTGCGGCCGCAGTCCTCACCTCAAAGAGTCGGAGCCACTTGTCAAAGGAGGCGTCCGTAGATGCTCCCGAGTACTTCGGGATGTTGATGACTTTCTTGGATGTGGCCATGATGAAGGGCACGGTAGATCCTGTCGACTAGTGTGACGCAGGAGGCGTGATGGCTGTACGATGAACCATTTATTTGTCTTCGTCTTCCTCCTTATCTACTAATCCACCACACCGTTCTCATGTGGTTCGTCACATATATATGGTTTGAAGAATAAAGTTTTTGTTGTAAGTCAGGGCTCTGTATGTGTCCTTCTCTGTCTAGTTTCTCATTTTTCGAGCTGTTCTTTTTCAATACACTGCATGGCAATAAAATAAAAGCCAAGGCTCAATAACACAAAAGCCCGCCATGGACAAGTGTGGACAACTAGCATCGAGAAACACAAGTATCACAAGTATAGTCTTGATCAGTTTCGTGTGGGACCACTCTTCGTTGATGACGGGCATACTCATAAGCGATAATTTAGAAGTAAAATCTCAAGATGACTATACCTGTCAATGGTAGTGAAAAGGTTAAAGCAGTCATAGAGTGAACGAAACCTGGGATGCCACAATAGGTGTCTATGGATAGCTCACCTCATGCCGCGAGTATCTTGCGGAGTATGAGCATCTGGGGGTAGTGAAGGTTGGCATCATAGATGTCTGGTCTTTCCTGCTGATACTGAAATAAAACAAAAATTAAACTTGATTGAAATGAACATATTTATCTAAAGGCTCAGGGCAGAGAGTTGAGTGTCTGCCGCGGCAGCAGTGTACGTCGTCTGAAGGACCGAAACATCTTGACATGTTGACTGTTTCACGCTTACAAAAACATGAAAAACAAGGATGAAGCGAGGAATTGACAAACACTAGGCAGGAATTTTTCGATACAGTCGCTCCTAGATAAATCGAACTCGAAGGGGATCGCAAAATCCTTCGATATATCGATAATTCAAAATACAAGATACGTGCATTTAATGCCTAAATTAAAGAATTTCAGACTTCAGAAATCGTTACAACCGCTACCATAATTATTCGTTCAAAGTGTGAAGAAGAACAAGGTGCTAACTCCAAGTTACCACATTTTATTTAGTGTGAAAGCAGCCCTGTCACGGACGGCCAATTTTGGCGGCCCCGCGTCACGGCAATTAACGGGCGCCGTACTTCCCCACTGACCGTGGGAACGGCGGGCGCATACAAGAGAGCCGAGAAGTGCAGAATGGGGTGCTCTTCTTGGAACATCGCCGCCGACGTTTGATCCTTTTGTAACTGCGGCGGCGTCTGCAAGGTCGTGGAAGGCCGCGATGTGTCCCGAACAAGCATTAGACTACGGAACGCACCGGCTAAGAGCCAAACAGTCTGACCGTTTCCCACGGAGGAAACCGTTGGAAAACCTCTGGTGGCCAAGCCATATGACAACACCCCAACAGATTGTCACTCTCGCTAGTTGAGGGCCCTCTCCTAATTAAAAAGGGGTGGGGTCAACATATTTTTGGGGCGGAGTTTCCATCAATGAAACGCGCATGATTGGACCCATGTAGAGGTCTCTTGTCCCCGAGGAAGGGAGCGAGTAGACACGAGGGGGATTTAAGCGCAGGATTTTGCCCTGCTAGGCAGACTAGTCGCTGACCAACATGGTGTAGAAACAGATCAACAAGCATCTCTTCTAGAAGTTTTTAGTGTGGCTCTGTATCGGCTGGCCACCTGAACTTAGCCGTTCGTCTAGTTGTGACGCGATATTAACGTCTGCAACGTAGACATCGGTACTTCGCCTCGGGTTAGCTCAACCTGCTCGAAGACACCTGCAAGCACTAGCCTCCCGGAGCCACCAGCGTTGCAATACCGCCGACATCGCAGTCGTGCCAGAATTCTCTTCAACTTCTCGCATCCGATCGTCGGGCACACAACGCTGCCGGTCATCACACGTATGCCTTCACCTGTTTATATCTTCAAACTTTCTCCTCCGTAGTTCTATTGTTGTTAGTTTGTGTAGTTTGTAATAGTTCTCTCTCGTAAGCTGATTTATTGTTTTTTTATGTATTTTTTTAGTTGTATCAAGTATTGATGTATTTTGTTAGTTGTATTGAAGTACTGTATTAGATCCCGTATGCTGCAATATCACTAGAGTAAAGTTTGTTTTGTTTTCTCACGCCTCTGATCTCTTCACTGTCTCTGCTTGCGTATGGAACGAACTAACCCGCTGTCATTCCCATCGCCGACTTCGCGCTGGCGACGCTAGAGTGGCAGCTTGTAACAAAACTGGCGTACGCAACAGGAACGTTCCGTACAAGAGTAAGACAGTGAGGGGTGAACGAGAACCGTGCGGACAGTGTGGTGATAGAGCCGCACAGTTGAAGCGGTTGCATCCTGCATATGATTGCGCTGGTTTTATAGTGGCATTATAGTGACAGTTGCAGTATGGAGTGTATGGATTTTGATAAGTGGATCGCGCACGGTAAACAGTTAGGCCTCGAGGGCGCCGAACTGAGACAATGGGTTAAGGAGCAGCAGGAACAGGCGCAGGCGTTAGCCAGAGAAGAGCGGGCACTGGCCCGGGAGGAAAAGAAAAAAGAAAGGGAGAGAGAACGCGAAGAAAAGGAGAGAGAACGCGAAGAAAAAGAGAGAGAGCGCAAAGAAAAGGAGAGAGAACACGAAGAAAGAGAGAAAGAACGAGAAGCGGCAAGGGAAGCGGCTAGGGAAGCCGGAGAACGGGAAGTGCAGTTACTGCAATTAAAGATTCGCCTCAGTGAGAGTAGCAGGTTGAGCCGATCCAGCAGAGAGCACGGCGATGCCAGGGGGGAGCCGAGTTTGAGAATACACGCAGGTAGACTGCTTGTCACCTTTGACGAAGGAAAGGACGACTTAGATGCGTTTATACACCGGTTTGAGAGCATCGCCAGAAGGCAAAAGTGGCCTGAAAGCCAATGGGCGACGGCACTTTCGACATGTCTTACAGGAGAGGCGCTAAGTGTTTATGGCAGGCTACCACCTACAGATGCAGCGGACTACACCAAGGTTAAAACTGCCCTCCTGAAGCACTTTCGCTTCACGGCGGATGGGTTTCAAGACAAGTTTAATAAGGAGAGGCCAGTAGGGGGTGAAACAGCAACACAGTACGCGGCTCGCTTAAGACATTACTTCGATAGATGGGTTGAGCTGTCCAAAACTGAGACAGAATTCCAGTCCCTCCGCGCATTGTTGATTAGAGAGAGGTTTCTGCATGGATGTGGTTCGAACCTGGCATTATATTTGAAAGAAAGGAGGGCGGAATCCCTGGGAGACATGCTTGAGCTGGCAGACCAGTTTTTGGAAGCTCAGGGTGGAGCAAGCCTAGCGAAAACAAAGAAAGATAGTCACATAACGGACGAGAAGGGGAAATACGAGAAAGGAGGCAACAGCCACGCACCACTACCACGGTGCTATATTTGCAATCCTGGGAATCACTCGCCGGACTTGTGTCGCAACAGACCTGCCGCTAATGTAGCCGTCGTCTTCTTCAATTGTGGGAAAAAAGGACATAGGGCAAACGACTGCCGGTCAGGAGCAAATAATTCACTCCAGGCGTTCTGCCTCTACGCACCAAGGGAAACGCGTGAGGATCCCATACGCGACGGGTATATCGAGCTTAGGAATGGCGAAAAAGTCCCCGTGGTCAACGCCGTAAGGGTGACACCTCCGAAAAATCTGGCCGAGAACCTACCAGTGGCTACAGGGACCCTCCTAGGCACCGACATATCAGTGTTGCGGGATACGGGGTGCAACACAATAATCGTGCGGAGGAAGTTGGTGAAGGAAGACGAGCTGACAGGTACAAGCAGACTCGTCTACTTGGTTGACGGAACAGCGAGGATGCTGCCCGAAGCACGGATTGAGGTTGACACCCCCTACTTTACTGGCAATCTGACAGCACTATGCCTGCAAGATCCACTGTATGACCTCTATCTGGGCAATATCGATGGCGTAAGACCTCCTAATGATCCCAGAAAGGAGACTGAAAAACCTGTCTCGACAAAGGAATTAAGGGAGGAGCCTGTAGCAGCAGCTATCACCCGTTCCCAAGCACATGCACAGCCGTAAAAATTTGCCAAGCTTCGTACGCCTGGGACCACGGCGTGATTGCCGGGAGATAACTATGGCTGCGAGCAGAGGGGAGATGCGACACTCAAACAGTGGTTTGAGAAGATCGGCAGGAAGCAAACATGCCGAAATGAGAAGGGAAGCGTCGAGTATAAACAAGAAAAGGGACTGCTGTACCGACAGCCCCGCCACGGTGGTCTAGTGGCTAAGGTACTCGGCTGCTGACCCGCAGGTCGCGGGATCAAATCCCGGCTGTGACGGCTGCATTTCCGATGGAGGCGGAAATGTTGTAGGCCCGTGTACTCAGATTTGGGTGCACGTTAAAGAACCCCAGGTGGTCAAAATTTCCGGAGCCCTCGACTACGGCGTCTCTTATAATCAAATAGTGGTTTTGGGACGTTAAACCCCACAAATCAATCAACTGCTGTACCGACAGTACACAGAGGCCAACGGACGGCTTGTACGCCAATTAGTCATTCCACACTGCCACCGAGAAGCTGTGCCTAAAACAGCACACGATGGTATCATGGCAGGACACTTGGGCACGCAGAAAACCAAGTACCGGATCTCGGAGGAGTTCTTTTGGCCAGGCATCACAGCTGACGTAAAAAGGTTCGTCGCCTCATGTGAAATTTGTCAGCGCACCGTACCAAAGGGCCGTGTACATGTTTCACTGGGGAGGGCACCCATAATTGACACCCAGTTCAAACGAGTGGCGATCAATATAGTGGGACCGATTCACCCGCCCTCAAAGCATAGGAACCGATACATTTTGACTTTGATGGATTATGCCACCCGGTATCCAGACGCAGTTGCGCTCCCGAGTATCGAAACTGAGCGAGTGGCTGAAGCCCTGGTCGAGATGTTCTCCCGATTCGGCGTCCCCCGCGAGGTACTAAGCGACCGTGGCACGAACTTCACATCGGACCTGATGAAGGAAGTAGCGCGGCTCCTTTCCGTGCGCCAGCTCCACACCACCCCATTCACCCCATGGCGAATGGCTTGGTGGAAAAATTCAACGGCACCTTAAAATTAATGTTGAAGCGCATGTGCGCCGAAAAACCGAGAGATTGGGACCGCTACCTGGCACCTCTCCTTTTTGCCTATAGGGAGGTTCCGCAGGCCAGTATGGGGTTTTCACCTTTCGAGCTTCTCTACGGCCGCCGTGTGAAGGGACCCTTGGCGATACTGAAGGAGCTGTGGACGAACGCCGACTTGACTGAAGAAGCTGAAACGACGTACTAGCATGTCTTCGATCTTCGGAACCGTTCGGAGGAAACATGCCGCCTGGCACACGAGGAGTTGGAAAGAGCTGGAGCACGGTACACAAAGCTGTACAATCGAAAGGCGAAGGAGTGGAGTTTCGACCCCAGAGAAGGGGCACTGATTTTACTTCCCACCGACACGAACAAGCTGCTGCTGCAATGGAAGGGCCCTTTTGAAGTCCGGGAAAAGAAAGGTGAAGCTGACTACGTCGTAAACACGGCTGACGGCAGAAAAATCTTCCACACCAACTTACTGAAAAGATACGAGGAAAGGGACAGCCCCTCCACCAAGGTGTGCAACATGACGTTTGGTGTTGTGGAATCGAGCGAGGACGAGAAT